ATATAACTCCTAGATCTTTCTCTCTGTCTGTTTCATTAAGTACTTCATCTCCTATTCTGTATCCTGTGTCTGGCCTCCTGTTTCCACTGCGTAGTTTCATTACTTTGCATTTACTTGGGTTGAACTTCAACAGCCATTTGTTGGACCATTCACTCAGTCTATCTAGGTCATCTTGTAGCCTCCTACTATCATTCTCTGTTTCAATCCTCCTCATAATTTTTGCATCGTCGGCAAACATTGAGAGGAACGAATCTATACCCTCTGGGAGATCATTTACATATACCAGAAACAGTATAGGTCCAAGGACTGACCCCTGCGGGACTCCACTTGTAACGTCTCGCCAATCTGAGACCTCACCCCTCACACAGACTCGTTGTCTCCTGTTGCTTAGGTACTCCTCTATCCACCGGAGTACCTTCCCTTTCACTCCAGCCTGCGTCTCCAACTTTCACACTAGCCTCTTGTGTGGCACTGTATCAAAGGCTTTCTGACAGTCCAAAAATATGCAGTCTGCCCACCCTTCTCTTTCTTGCCTTATTTTTGTTGCCTGGTCGTAGAATTCAAGTAACCCTGTGAGGCAGGACCTGCCATCCCTGAAACCATGTTGATGCTGTGTTACAAAGTTCCTTCGCTCCAGATGCTCCACTAGTTTTTTTTCGCACAATCTTCTCCATCAGCTTGCATGGTATGCAGGTTAGGGACACAGGCCTGTAGTTCAGTGCCCCCTGTCTATCCCCTTTCTTGTTTATCGGGACTACGTTAGCTGCTTTCCAAATATCTGGCAGTTCCCCTGTTGCCAGTGATTTGTTATACACTATGGAGAGTGGTAGGCACAGTTCTCCTGCTCCTTCCTTGAGAACCCAAGGGGAGATTCCATCTGGGCCTATAGCCTTTGTCACATCCAACTCTAGTAAACACTTCCTTACTTCCCCGCTGGTAATCTCAAACTCTTCCAGTGGTTCCTGGTTAGCTATTCCCACACTTACCTCTGGAATTTCTCCTTGCTCTAAGGTGAAGACCTCCTGGAATTTCTTATTCAATTCCTCACACACTTCCTTGTCATTTGTAGTGAATCCTTCTGCCCCTATCCTTAATTTCATAACCTGTTCCTTTACTGTTGTTTTTCTCCTGATGTGGCTATGCAACAATTTAGGCTGAGTCTTTGCCTTGCTTGCGATGTCATTTTCGTATTGTCTTTCTGCCTCTCTTCTCATCCTGACATATTCATTCCTGGCATTCTGGTATCTTTCTCTGCTCTCCAGTGTCGTTATTCCTATAGTTTCTCCATGCCCTTTTACTTTGCTGCTTAGCTAGCCCACATCTCTGATTAAACCACGGGTTTCTCATTTTCATTTCTCTGTTTTCCTTTTGGACTGGGACAAACTTGTTTGCTGCGTCCTTGCACTTCTGTGTGATGTAATCCATCATATCTTGGGCCGTCTTTCCCCTGAGCTCTGTTTCCCATGCTATATCTGTTAGGAATATTCTTATCCCCTCATAGTTTCCCTTTCGGTATACTAACCTTTTGGTTTCGGTATCCCTCCTCGAGTTCAATAACCCTTATTCAATCAAGTACTCAAACACCAGTACACTGTGGTCGCTCATTTCTACTGGGTCCTCAAAACCGATTTTTCTTATGTCGGAGTCGTTCAGAGTGAAGACTAGGTCGAGTCTCACTGGTTCATCATTGCCTCTCATCCCTGTGGGTTCTCCTACATGCTGGGTTAAAAAGTTTCTTGTCACCACCTCCAATAGTTTGGCTCTCCACGTATCCTCACCTCCATGCGGTTCCTTGTTCTCCCAGTCAATCCTTCCGTGATTGAAGTCGCCCATGATGAGCAGGTGGGATCTATTTCTACAGGCAGCAGAGGCTGCCCTCTCAATTATAGTGTTAACTGCCATATTGTTGTTTTCATACTCTTGACTGGGTCTTCTGTCATTTGGTGGAGGGTTGTATATTGCTGCTACTACTATTCTTGGTCCTCCCATTGTTATGGTGCCTGCTATGTAGTCTCTGAACTCCTCACAGCCTGGGATGGCCATCTCCTTAAAACTCCATTCCTTTCTCATGAGTAGGGCCACTCCTCCACCTCCCCTACCTTCTCTCTCTTTCCTTTTTACTGTGTACTCCTGGGGAAACACGACATTCGTTATGATTCCAGAGAGTTTTGTTTCAGTGCGTCCGATCACATCTGGGTTAACTTCCTGTGCTCTTTCCCTTAGTTCACTTGTCTTGCTTGTGATCCCATCTATGTTCGAGTACATCACCCTGAAACTGACTCTCTTCTGCTTCTTCTTTGGGGGGGGACCTTTGGGATCTGGGGTGAGTGGGAGCTGGGGGGGGCCTGGCACGGGGAGACTGGTGGAGGAGGGAGGGCTTGGGAGGGTGGGAGAGAGGGGGAGGGTAAGGGGGTGGGTAAGAGGGGGAGGGTAGGGGGGGGGGAGAGTGAGAGGGAGAGGGTTGGGGGGGGAGAGTGAGAGGGGGAGGGTTGGGGGGGTGAGAGAGGGAGGGTTGGGGAAGCATGGGGGGAGGAGAGGCTTTGGGGGATAGGGGAGATGTGGGGGAGAAAAGGGTGGAGGGCTTGGGGGGCGTGGGGGAAAAAGAAGGGCTGAGGTGGGTGAGGAAGAGAGGAGGGTTTAGGGGAGTGGGGGAGAGGGGAAGATTTAGGTGGGGTGGGGGAGAGTGGGGGCTTAGGGGGGCGGGGGAGAAGGGAGGGCTTGGGGGTGGGAGAGACGGGAAGGCATGTGGAAGAGGGGAGGGCTTGAGGGATGTGGGAGAAGGGAGGTCCTGGGGAGAGGGGTGAGTGGGAGGAGGGGGGTGGGTGGGGGGAGGGTGCCCTAGGTGGGTCCTTAGTGGGGGGTTGACAGGGAATGGGGCAGGTTGGGTGTCAGTTGGGTAGAATGTGGGGGTGGTGCCCCAATCCCTGTGGCTGTTGCACTGTTTGAAGAGGATTCCCCATTCCCCTCTGAGATTGTAGGGATCGGGGTTGTGTGAATGTATGTATGTGTGTGTGTGTGTGTGTGTGTGTGTGTGTGTGTGTGTGTGTGTGTGTGTGTGTGTGTGTGTGTGTGTGTGTGTGTGTGTGTGTGTGTGTGTGCGCATATATATTCAAAATTCAAAAATTCAAATGTTTATTCAGGTAAAGTACATACATACAAGGTGTGATACAAATATTGATGAATTTATAGATAGAGCTAGTACATACAATGCCTAAAGCCACTATTACGCAAAGTGTTTCGGGCAGGAAAAACACTAAAGACTAAAACTTAATACTAATTGAGATTAGAGTATAAAATGCGTTGAGAAAATATAAAAATAAAAAAGGGGGAACATGGCAGAAAAACAGCAAAAAAATACATTTGGTCGACAAACAGCATTGTTTAAAATAGCAGACATGGGTTGACATTATAGGGGTAAGGTAGGTTACAGGGAGTTAATTAGGTAGTACTTAGTTTTTATCTTAAACTGCTTGAGAGAGTTACAGTCTTTAACATGATTGGGAAGGTCATTCCACACTCTGGGTCCCTTGATTTGTAGAGCATTTCTAAAATTCAAAAAAATTCAAAATTCAAATGTTTATTCAGGTAAAGTACATACATACAAGGGGGTGATACATATATTGATGAATTTATAGATAAAGCTAGTACATACAATGCCCAAAGCCACTATTAAAAGCGTTTCGGGCAGGAAATATATATATATATATATATATATATATATATATATATATATATATATATATATATATATATATATATATATATATATATATATATATATATATATACATATACAGGGAATTACGTGAGTTTACCTGAGTGACACTAGTAGCCTCAATGAGGACAGGAAGCCGGCAGCTTGTCGAAGGTCCCCCATTTACTTTGATTAACAGAGGTTTGGCATTTACGGCTTCGGCGGGTAGGCTGTTCCGTGAGTTTATAACCCTGTGAGTGAAACAGCCTCACCTGTTCTCTATCCTACATTGTGGCTTGTTGAGCTTGAAGCCGATGCTTCTTGTTTGTGTTACATCTGACCTTTTGAAGAAATTTTCCTGATCGACATCAAAATTACACCTTTTGAATGTAATTAATAATTGTTGCAGTGGGTGTTGCATGGTGATAGCATTTTTTTTAATGCAGGTGGGCACAGGAGTAAACGGTTCTAATTCCTGTTAGTAGGCTTATAGCTTTCCCATGCCATACCTCATCATATGCCTCAAGCTACTAGATTTACATGAAACACGGAGAGCCATTCAGTTTACAAACAAGTAGAATCCTTTTTCAGGACTCGAATCTGGTCAAAATTGTTGGCGAGGTACTAGGCGAGAATGCAACAACTGCTCTACGGTGGCGATGATGATTGCAGTGGTTACCTTGAGGTTACCTTGAGGTGCTTCCGGGGCTTAGCGTCCCCGCGGCCCGATCGTCGACCAGGCCTCCTGGTTGCTGGACTGATCAACCAGGCAGTTGTGATGGACGCAAGTTCAAGTATGTTTATTGAGACAAGAAAATACATCTCAAAGGGTGACTCCAAGAAATAGCTCAGGCTATTTCTACTCCCCCCACACCTCCCCCCCCCCCCCCCCCCCCCCCCCACCTCTCCCGATGGTGACGAAGTAGCTTGTTGCCATTAGCTCTTGGTTGCCATGGTCCTTCCTTACAGAAAGTGAGGGTTCGCTCTTTATGATCAGCCTCCTATAGCCTTTCATGTCAAGTGAGTTTGTTAACATTCAAGTTCTGTGTCATATCTCTTCTTGAAGTTGTAGATGAAGGTGGCTTCCACAATTTTTTCTTTGAGTGCATTCCACTTACTGATCATGTATACCAGTTGATTGGTTGATTGACAGTTAAGGGGCTGGTCCAAAGAGCCGAAACTCAACCCCCACAAGCACAACTAGGTGAAAACAGAGTATAGTATTTCCTTATGTTTCTTCGACTCGTGTGGAGAAGGCCACACACGCCCACAACAGAAAGAACACCTAGCCACTGACAATACTTACTGAGGGTGGTAGGAGGAAGGTTGTGGGAGTGCTGGGAGAAGGCCACCCACGCCCACAACAGAAGGAGCACCAGGCCGCCCACACGCACCGCCCGCCACCGCACACCCCGTAGCCGAACACCTGGTTAAGGCACGGAGATACCTGCATTAACGTTAATTGGTAAAACCTATCTTCTTCCATATGATGTTTTTTTCTTTCCTGACGATGTCTTTAATGGTGGTGAAGGTGGTGTTGATGTTGGCATTAGTGGTGGTGATGTTAGCTTTAGTGTTGGTGAAGGTGGTGGTGTATAGCGAACTATGTAAACTGTGACGCAGTACAATACTGTGCTCTATTCCATGATGAGAAGCGTCACCTGGTGGAGGGAGTGTGACCTTCCTCTTTGTTTGTGTGTGTGTGTGTGTGTATTCACCTAATTGTACTCACCTAATTGTACTTGCGGGGGTTGAGCTCTGGCTCTTTGGCTCAACTGTGTGTGTGTGTGTGTACTCACATAACTGTACTCACCTAATTGTGTTTGCGGGGGTTGAACTTCTGTTCTTTGGTCCTGTCTCTCAACTATGGTATGCAGTTCCTGAACCTACTGGGCTCCATCATATTTAAAAAAAATAAATAAAAAAATAAAATAAAATGTTTATTTAGGTAAGGTACATACATACAATAAATATTTACAAAGAATGGTTGACTTATAGGTATAGCTAGTACATACAATGCCTAAAGCCACTATTACGCAAAGCGTTTCGGGCATGATAAACTTAAATGACAAGCTTAATACTAATTGAGCATAATGAGTAGAATGAAAACAAGAAACGAAAACATAGATGAAAAAGTAGCACAAATACAATTATGTCGACAAACAGCGCTCTTAAAAAAAAAAAAAAAAAAAAAAAAAAAACAGACATTGGTTGACAATAGAAGGGTAAGGTAGGTTACAGGGAATTTATTAGGTATAGCTTCGTTTTTAACTTAAACTGGTTGAGAGAGGTACAGTCTTTTACATGGTTGGGAAGGTCATTCCACATTCTGGGCCCCTTGATTTGTAGGGCCTTTCTAGTTTGATTAAGTCGTACTCTAGGAATATCAAAACTGTATTTATTTCTGGTGTGGTGCTGGTGCAATTTACATTTGAAACTGTATAGGATCTGCCTCCACCAAATAATTTCCTAATGCATTCCATATGTTAACAAATCTGACACTGCAAAAAAAATTCTAATGTCTCTGTGGCTTATTTCCGTACTCAGTTTCCACCTGTGTCGCCCTTCAGCGAGTGTCACCCGTGTTAAATAGCCTGTCTGTATTTGCCCTATTAATTCTGAGAATTTTTTATGTGATAATAATCATGTTTCCCCTAACTTCTGTCTTCCAGCGACGTGAGGTTCAATCCGTGTAGTCTTTTGTGTATATATAATTATATAGGTGTAATTACCTACGTGTAGTTACAGAACGAGTGCCACGCTCATGGTGTCGCGTCTTCCAAGCACTCTTTGTCATGTAACGCTTTGAAATTACTGACGGTTTTGGGTGTGTACTTACCTAGTTGTGCTTGCGGGGTTTGAGCTTTGGCTCTTTGGTCCCGCCTCTCGACCATCAATCATCAATCACATCTAAGTATAATGACCTAAGTGTAGTTACAGGATGAGAGGTACGCTCGTGGTGTCTCGTCTCCCAAGCACTCTTTGTCATATAACGCTTTATCTTACAGGTAACAGGTAAGGACTATCTTACAGGTAACTATCCACAGTCTCTGTACCTAATGCCTACTAATTCCACTGATGTTACTGACATAATCCTTTCCCTTAAAACCAAGTTTAGTGCCCTTGAGGAGATACCAACTCTAATTTACTAAAAAGCCTCCAGGGGCCAGATTCACGAAAACACTTACGCAAGCACTTACGAACGTGTACATCTTTCCTCAATCTTTGACGGCTTTGGTTACATTTATTAAACAGTTTACAAGCATGAAAACTTCCAATTCAACTGTTGTTATTGTTATAAACAGCCTCCTGGGGCTTCGGAGCTCATTAACTGTTTAATAACTGTAAACAAAGCCGCCAAAGATTGAGAAAAGATGTTCAGGTTCGTAAGTGTTTGCGTAAGTGCTTTCGTGAATCTGGCCCCATATCTTTAGCCCCTGCTATTGCATTGCTCTTTAACAAACCACTTGAACTCCAAGCCTTTCAAGATATTCTAAAAAAAAAAAGCGAGAGTAACCCCTGTCCACAAATGTGGTGATCCCGCTGATGTCAACAACTTCAGACCTATATCAATTCTGCCAAACTTGTCAAAAATATTTGAAAAACTAATCTACAAGCAGCTTTACTCTTATCTAGCCAAACTCAATATACTTAGCTCTTGTCAATATGGCTTAATCTTACCTTACTAACAGGCTCCAGTATGTTTCTGTGAATAATTCAATTTCTCCCACCCTACCCATCAACATTAGTGTTCCCCAGGGCAGCATACTTGCCCCTCTCCTCTTTCTCATCTACATTAATGACCTTCCAAATGCCTCCCAACATCTCAAACCCATTTTATTTGCTGACGACACGACCTTCATTTACTCCAGTCCTGACCCCCTTGCTCTAAATGTCACAGTGAATACTGAGCTAAATAAAGTCCATCACTGGCTAACTGCCAACAAACTCACCCTCAATATTGACAAAACTTTCTATATTTTGTTTGGCAATAAATCCTTAAATCAAATTAATCAGCAGTCTCCGTGGTGTAGTGGTAAGACACTCGCCTGGCGTTCCGCGAGCGCTATGTCATGGGTTCGTATCCTGGCCGGGGAGGATTTACTGGGCGCAATTCCTTAACTGTAGCCTCTGTTTAACGCAACAGTAAAATGTGTACTTGGATGAAAAAACGATTCTTCGCGGCAGGGGATCGTATTCCAGGGACCTGCCCGAAACGCTGCGCGTACTAGTGGCTGTACAAGAATGTAACAACTCTTGTATATATCTCAAAAAAAAAAAAAAATGACATGGTCACTTTTACCCAAGGGAGGAAGGTACTGAATATCAAATATCTCTTCCTCTTTCCTGGTAAATATCAAATCTAACATTGAGGGAACATCCCCTTCCCTCATCCTCGTAGCTTGTTTAACATGTTGATACAAGAACGTTTCATAGAATGAGGTCTACGAATCTACAGGTCCACAAGTCCTCTGTTCTAGCTTCATATGCTTCCCAATCTATGGCTTTCAAGTTGAAGTCGCCGACTACCAACAGTCGTGATCTATCTTTATCCATGCTGGGGCCGCATACTCCAGGATTGGTCTTACATATGTGGTATACAAGGTTTTGAATGATTCCTTGCACAGGTTCCTGAAGGCAGTTCTGATGTTAGCCAGCCTTGCATACGTTAACCTTGCAGCCTTGCATTGTTATTCTTTTTATGTGGACTTCAGGAGACAGGTTTGGTGTGATATCAACTCCTAGATCTTTCTGTCGGTTTCGTGAAGGATTTCATCTCCCATTCGGTATCCTGTGTCTGGCCTCCTGTTTCCTCCACCTAGTTGCATTACCTTATGTGTGTGTACTTACCTAGTTTTACTTACCTAGTTGTGCTTGCAGGGGTTGAGCTCTGGCTCTTTGGTCCCGCCTCTCAACTAATGTACAGGTTCCTGAGCCTTCTGGGCTCTATCATATCTACACCTGAAGCTGTGTATGGAGTCAGCCTCCACCACATCACTTTCTAAAGAATTCAATTTGTCTACTACTCTGACACTGAAAAAATTCTTTCTAACTCATTTGGGCACTCAATTTCCACCTGTGTCCCTAGTGCGTGTGCCCTTTCTGTTAAATAATCTGTCTTTATCTACCCTGTCAATTCCTCTGAGAATCTTGTATGTGGTGATCATGTCCCCTCTAACTCTTCCGTCTCCCAGTGACGTAAGGTTTAATTCCCGTAGTCTCTCTTCGTAGCTCATACCCCTCAGTTCAGGTACTATTCTGGTGGCAAACCTTTGAACCTTTTCCAGTTTAGTCTTATGCTTGACTAGATATGGACTCCATGCTGGAGCCGCATACCTCAGGATTGGTCTGACATATGTGGTACACAAAGTTCTGAAAGATTCTTTGCACATGTTTCTAAAGGCCGTTCTTATGTTAGCCAACCTGGCATATGCCGCTGATGTTATCCTCTTGATATTGGCTTCAGGGGACAGGTCTGGCGTGATATCAACCCTCAGGTCTTTCTTTCTTTCTGACTCATGAAGTATTTCATCTCCCAAATGATACATTGTATTTGGTCTCCTGCTCCCTACACGTATCTTCATTACATTACATTTGCTTGGGTTAAACTCTAACAACCATTTGTTCGACCATTCCTGCAGCTTGTCCAGGTCTTCTTGAAGCCTCAAGCTGTCCTCCTCTGTCTTAATCCTTCTCATAATTTTGGCGTCGTCAGCAAACATTGAGAGGAATGAGTCTATACCCTCTGGGTGATCATTTACGTATATCAAAAACAGGATAGGTCCGAGTACAGAGCCCTGTGGGACTCAACTGGTGACTTCACGCCAGTCTGAGGTCTCACCCCTCACTGTAACTCTCGGCTTCCTCCCTTATCCACTGGAGCGTCCTACCAGTTACTCCTGCCTGTTTCTCCAGCTTATGCATCAGTCTTTAATGGGGTACTGTGTCAAAGGCTTTCCGACAGTCCAAAAAAATGCAGTCCGCCCAGCCTTCTCTTTCTTGCTTAACCTTTGTCACCTGATCGTAGAATTCTATCAAGCCTGTAAGGCAAGATTTACCCTCCCTGAACCCATGTTGATGGGTTGTCACGAAGTCTCTTCTCTCCAGATGTGTTACTAGGTTTTTTCTAAAAAAAAAAAAAAAAAAACTGTGTGTGTATTCACCTAGTTGTGTTTGCGGGGGATGAGCTCTGCTCTTTACAAAAGATAATATAGAGGTTATAAATGGGGGACAGATACACAGAAAATGAAAAGGAAATGTGTGAAACAATAAACGAAAAGTTCCAAAGTGTGTTTGTACAAAATGAGATCTTCAGAGAACCAGACACAATAAGAATTCTACAGAACAACATAGAGCGTATAGAGGTGTCTAGAGATGAAATGGAAAATATGATAAAGGAGCTAAGTAAGAATAAAGCAGTTGGTC